GACCATTTAAGTTTGGGTTACGTGGCGTGGTCAGTGCATTCACTAATCACACATGGCATTATAAAGGAGTTTGAATTGATTTTTGTATTAAAAAAATGGATTGCACAAAGGTCAAATCAGATGTACTCAAGGGCAAATTGGGCAAACCCCTTTTCTTCTTCGATTGGAAGCGCGAGGAGGGGGAAACCCCTTTTCTTCTTCAGAACCCTAAAATCCTAAGAGATATGCACGAAAAGGGAAAGAGAGAAACGCTCTTCCTTCAACCTCCAACGCGGAGAAAACAAAATTGTTGTTTTCTAGTCACTAAGGAATGGAAAAGTTCACAACTCCTACCTAGTTGCTTGTTTCGAGAATTTCTTGTATGACCGCCTCTGTTAGAGCACGTGCACATCTCCTCATGGACAATACTCCATAACCAAGCAAGAGAGCTTATCTGTTGCAATATAGGAGTACATAGTGGGAAGAAATGGATGGTCCAACATCCGAAGGATCTTTCTCAGTTTGGGCCCTGAACATTTTCTTCTGACTCGACAAAAATTCATTGTCCATCACTTTGAGCGCAAAATTGGCCATGAAAACCGTGCACTCCAAAGCGAGTTTTGCGCATGCTGCAGCCGTTGCAAGGCCGTGTTGTCCAGAGCCAGTGGCCATGACCATGCTTTTGCAACCCATTCGTTTAGCAATCATGGCTTGAGCAAGAGCGTTGTTCATCTTGTGAGAGCCACCATGGTTGAGGTCCTCTCTCTTTAAGTATATATCAGGCAATCGCTCCGCGTGATACATAGGTGTTTCTCTCTCAGCATAGTCTCTTAACGCCTCCGCTAGCTCTACTTGTGGGAACAACCATTTAAGCTTTTAATTAATGGCTTTCAATTGTTCTATACTAAAATCAAGCAATTATTAATGGTGAATTTGATGAATTTGGATAATTAATTAACCTGAAAGGCATCCACGACACACCTCTAATTGTTTCAATTTTACAAAAATAATGACTCAATTGAGACGTCAAAAAGCATATCTATTTAAAATTTCAGACCAAAATAAGGTCTCATCGAGACATTAAACCAAAAAAATAATAATAACCAACCATACCGTTACTTCATCAATAATATCAAAATAATTAATACACCAAAAAAAAATACACAATATTCAGTCTCAAAAGTTACCAAAAACAAACAAAAAATATAATACAAAACTAAGAAGAAACAACTAAAATGCGAAAATAGAACTCGTGAAGTAGGTTTTTTTGGGTTAAAACTTTAAAAGTTGAACCAAAAATATATTACATCATTAAAAGTGTGTAGTTTTTTATTTCCACATCTGTATATTAAAAAAATAAACAATAAACTAGTAACAAATTGACACATGAACTCTGTCAAATTGTTGTAGAAAACTGTAGTAAACATATAATTTTCCCTTACTCCAATAATTATTTAATTATTTGTTCTGGTGATGTGTCAGTATGGGATTGGGGTAAAGTTAGATTATGAATTCTTCCTGTGAGAATTTATTTACAGAGCATTTGAAAATAGAAAAATTTCCCTCAACTTTTAACCTATTTGGTGACAACGTGAAAATTAAATTATTATTCTAAGAAATAAATATTTTTACAAATAGGTGAATATCCTGATTATAAAATAGCTTATTGGTAAATTAAATATATGTGGTCTTTTTGTGTGTGTGTATATATATATATATATATATATATATATATATATATATATATATATATATATATTACAGCTATTTTTTAACAATAAAATATTAAATTGTGATATTTAATTAAAAATAAATTAAAATATTTAAGAAAAAACATTATATGGTGAAATAATCAGCCTTAAAATATTGAGTCTGATAGACCTGGGTTAGGGTTTTAACGCAATCCCTCGCCACCCTCATTTACGATATCTTGGTTTCTTTGCAGAGAAGTAGTTAGGCATAACAGACACTGAGATGGGAACAAAGGCAAAGAAAGCTATGAAGAAGAACATGAAAATGGCTTCCTCTAAACAGCCATCTCAGGGTGCTGATTTTTTGGTAAGTTGATAATACCGATTCTGTGTGCTCTCTGTTCAGTTAACTTTTCCTTTTATTTTTCAATTTATTGTGTCAGTATGGTGCTTAATTTTGTTTCTGAATTGGTAAAGCCCTTGGAAGGTGGTCCTGCTCGCAAGCTCGCCGAACAGAAGCCGCCGGAGAATACCTCCACGGTATTGTACGTATCCAGGATTCCGCATGGATTCTATGAGAAGGAGATGGAAGGTGCTCATGGATTTTTCTTTTGTCAGATTTTTGATGGATTTCGTGGAGTGTGTGTTTACGATTGCATTTTGTAGGTTATTTTGGTCAATTTGGAACCATCAAAAGGTTGAGAATCGCGAGAAATAAAAAGGTTAGTTGCTTGCATGTTAACTAGTCTACTTTAATGTCCGTGCTTGTTATTATTTGCATTATTGTGTGATTTTGTCAATTTGATAATTGTGGCATACTTTGTTTATTCTGATCTATTTACTCATGTAGTTAATTTTACCTGTGGATTTCAGTGATTATTTTTGTATAATCTTTTATTCTGGTGGATGGGTGTGTGACTGTGCACGATATCATCAGGATAGATAATGCACCCTCAAGAGTTGTCAATTTTGACACAATGCAATGTATGGTTGTGTGGCGAAAAATTACTTTTCTTGTCTCGTGCTTTATTTGTTCGTGAGTGGTCTTAATTTAAGAAACTGTTCCAATGCAGAATATCTGTTGTGTCGTTAATAGTTATGAGTTTCTCAGAGAAGTTGAAGCCTCTGCAATCAATCAATATTGTAGTAATTTTGCTTTTGTTTGGTCCTTACATTCTGAAAAAAACTATGGGTTTTCAACCAACCATCAAGATATTTGTTTCTTTAAATTCTTTGGGGCTGCAATATTTGCCCTTTTAGTGATGATGGATATTGGTTTTAGTTGATTGATACTGACAATATATGTTTCTTGTTCTTTAACAGACAGGAAAATCAAGACATTTTGGGTACATAGAATTTGAATCTCCTGAGGTATTTGTTGTTTCTGCAGATTAATTGATTGTGTTTGTAATAAAATTCAGTTTCCTTGTTTTAATAGTGCCTTGATTTGTAGGTTGCGAAAATTGTAGCTGATACTATGCACAATTATCTCCTTTTCGAGCACCTTCTCCAAGTTCATGTTGTACCTCCGGAGAATGTTCATTCAAGATTGTAAGTTATTAATGAAATTTTTTCCGGATCTATTTCCTTCTAAGGATTCCCTTTGTAGACTTTAGTCTGTCTAACCTTCAATTTTCTTTCCACCTCCTTCTTTTACACGTGTGAAAAAGAAAGATATCTATTTAGAGTATTGAAAAAAAATCACTAACAAATAGAGAATTAGGAATTCCCTCAAACATACATGTACCTTGGTTTAAGGTTTAAAGATTTAGTTTCTTCTTTGAATATGACCAAAGGTAACAAATGAATGTGTGAAATTTTTCATCGTAGATGGAGAGGATTCAGTTATCGTCACAAGCCATTGGATTATGTCCAAATTGAACGGAAGCGTCATGACAAGGTATCTAGTTCATTGGATAATAAAGTATATCTGCTTGATATTTCTCGTCTGATTCTCAGTATTAAGTTCTTGATGCTGTCATTCCAGGAAAGAACCTTAGACGAGCACAAAAAATTGGTGGAGAGGATTCTAAAACATGACCAAAAACGACGGAAAAGGATAGAGGCTGCTGGCATTGATTACGAAAGCCCTGAGATTGTGAGCCTTTTGCTTTTATCATTCTGTGGTGGTTCATTTCTTTTCACAAATAGAGAATATTCTGCATCTTGAGTTTTGCTCTCATTTTACATATATAATTGCTCTTTGCAGATGGGTAACATCCAGCCTGCTCCAAAGAAAATAAAGTTTGATNAACAAATGAATGTGTGTTATTTTTCATCGTAGATGGAGAGGATTCAGTTATCGTCACAAGCCATTGGATTATGTCCAAATTGAACGGAAGCGTCATGACAAGGTATCTAGTTCATTGGATAATAAAGTATATCTGCTTGATATTTCTCGTCTGATTCTCAGTATTAAGTTCTTGATGCTGTCATTCCAGGAAAGAACCTTAGACGAGCACAAAAAATTGGTGGAGAGGATTCTAAAACATGACCAAAAACGACGGAAAAGGATAGAGGCTGCTGGCATTGATTACGAAAGCCCTGAGATTGTGAGCCTTTTGCTTTTATCATTCTGTGGTGGTTCATTTCTTTTCACAAATAGAGAATATTCTGCATCTTGAGTTTTGCTCTCATTTTACATATATAATTGCTCTTTGCAGATGGGTAACATCCAGCCTGCTCCAAAGAAAATAAAGTTTGATGACTGAGTTGGTAACCTGAAACACAGGAGTCTGCTGGTTTAGGATTTTTAGTTTTAATATTTTCGCAGTTTTGGAACTTAGTTCTGAAACCTTGTATCCGTCAAATGTTTACAGGAAGCATGATCCATTTTATATATTCATAAACTTTTTAAGCAGTTGATCACCTTCAGGCTCATTACTGTTTTACTTCTTTTTTGGTCTTCAATTGCACTCTTAATTAGAGTTTGCGCACATTTATTGCTTCGTTTTTTAATTTTTGTTAACATTGACAATCTAGCAAAAAATATTTCTGTTAATTTATTAACTTCTCAGAAATATTCAATGAAACGGAAAGTAGTTTTAATTGTGTATGTTGATAATAAAAATTTAGAAATGTATTATTTTACAGGGTGATGTTAGGCTTCGAATTATTTTAGGTCTTAATGTATTATTTGATACTATTTATTAGTAATACATGGTTTTATTTAATATATTAAAAGTAATTATACAATTTTATCATTTATTTGAAAAGGTCGAGAATAATAGTTTGCAGACTCATGTTTTTGTTATCAATTTTTGAATTATAGGACTTTTTTTTTTATTGAAATAGAGAAATGAATACCAAATTGAGGGAATAGTATTCTCAAACCATTTCGAAATAAAATATTTTGTAATAACCCAAATGGTGTGTTGATCAATATAACAGATTCCTATAATCTGTTCGCTTTTTTGTGAAGTAAGCAAAATAATCATTGGATGAAAACCATAAGGAATTCAACAATCTCATTGTTCAAAATGAAAAGAACCCCCAAGGGAGGAAGGAAGAACGTTTATTATCCTTCTAAATCTTTAAACCCTTGAATTACTACTATTCCTTCTTTACTTGCCATCAAATATATCATTACGGATATGGAAGAAGCATCTACAACTCTAAGAACTAGAGGAATCTAAGTAAGGTATAACATGTATTTTCTGGTCTAAGGACGTGTAGTGAGCAGGTAATAAACAAAAATGGACTAAAGGGACTCAAAATTTGGGTTCAATGGTAAAATAGTTCAAGATAGGTTTTAGTTGGTTAAATGGATAAAGAAACAAAAATCACCTATAATGCTATTTTCAACAAGTATTGTCAATTAGTTCAAGGCAAATTCTGGTAGTACTAGCAACATAAATGAAATCTCACTCAAGAAGGAGGTCAATCCAAGGAAGGCAAAAATTTGAGTAATTCTAGTGTATAAATCTGTCTTAATGATGGGGGAATATGAATGGAATTCATTAAAATCTCTAAAAATCACTAAAATAATGTAAAACTACAAAAACTAAAACTGCTTGATAAAAGTCAGTGAAAACTGAAAATGCACAATGTGTTCCACGAAATACCAGAATGAATAGAAACTGAATTACATATAACTAATGCTTAAAACAAGTTTATATACTTAGAACTAAGTATGACACGTGTTAGAAGTCTTACATCAATTATAGATAAGATTAACTTATAGTATATTAGTGAATGTAAATCTTATTGTTCAAATTAATTTTGTAAGATTGAATTAGACTTAAACTAATTAAAGAGTAAGAACTGCGAAAATTTAAAACATAAATCAGAATTCAATGTTAAAACCAAAGCCTAAGTAGAATGGCGTGTTCTGATTTAGAAGTAAAGAACTAACGCATGGCATTGAATTGGAAACTAAAATGAATAGAAAATAACAATAGAAGAACGAGAATCATAACATGAAGCAGTAAAATGCATAAGAAAACGAAATTGAAAATTTTTAAAGAATACAAATGGCTTGAATTGGATAGAACCTGGTTCATAATAAAAATGCACTGAAGTTCTTGATTGCCTTTGTTAACTTTGTTAAGACAGCCAAGAATCTTCAGGGAGAACTATGGAGAAAAACTGAATCGTGAAGAAAATTGGAAAACTAATCTATAATAATTCTAGGAGCTGTATTGTAAAACAAGTTTCTAAAAGAACATCCAAGCCTTTATATAGGCCGATCAGGTCTGTACTACTGGAAAACTGAAAAACCGCCTAAAGCCAGTCACAAGAACTGCCAATAACAGGTAAAATTGCCTACAAACTGTCTAAAACAGTTTAACCATGTTTACAAGACTCCTAAGTAGCAAGTAAACACTCTCAGCTTTGAGCTTTCAGCCAGGCTAACGCAGGTCATCTCTTCACGAAAAATCTGTTCAATTGAGTTCCCAAACTGGTTGTTTCAAGTTGCAAGAACTGCTCCAACCAGTTTCCAAATGCTTCCTACTGATTACAAACAACTGTACTGTTCTAGAATTGCAAGAATTTTCACATCACCGAAACTAACTTGCACAAGCTGTTTACTCAAGTTAACTGCACCAATAGATGAACCAATTCATAGCAACAAAAGCAAAAGACTGAAATATTAGTCAAGATTAAAAATCAGCACTGCACTAAAAAATTCAAAGCTGGGAAAATATGTCCAAACTAAACTATGCTATTTACTAGGACTAGAAATTCAACAATTGAAAAATATCTCCAAACTAAATTATGTTACTTACTCTGTCAGTGACATTTGTCAATATGAGTTATTTATTTATGTTTTCCTTAAGGTTTTCGGGCATTCTTTTCTCACACACTTCATTATTCTCTAGAGCGAATGGAAGAGGCCCTTAGAGGATGTTTAGGGTGCTAGGAAGCTCTCCCTTCTCCACCTTGAGATTCAATCTTCATCAATGGTAATTTTGCATCTTTTGCGTTGAGGAGGAAGATGTGTTACAAATTAGAGATGGAAATGCGAAGAGGAAGTGTGATTGGGCATGCATTTCTCTTTGGTTTCAATTTCTTTCTTATTTCTTCAATTTATAAACCTTAGATTTTTCACCGTGGAGAGTCAACCCTATTTGTTGATATTAGATGTTAGATGTAATAAACTGAATCTTATGTATTTTGTGAGGTTAATACCTATGTACCTATGTTTTTCCATTTTAAAGTTAGTATTTCATTTCTATTCTTAATGCTTGTTGTGCCTTGATTATTCATGGCTTGATGACTAGTTCTTAAGGTATTTGAAAATGTCTTTTAAACTTAGAACTGAAATTGAATACCCAATAAAGTTTGTATCTAGGATAGAACACATGATTTATTAGTAATTTTAAGACTCAACTTAATGTATGGTTACTTGTTGAGATTTAAGAAATTGGAATTTGATGAGTTATTATAGGCTCAAAGTCACTAGGAATAGGATTTGAATAATTTTGTCAATTAATTTTAACATAAATTTGAGATTGAGATGACGGTATATGCATGAGAATAAAATTGATGAAATTTAGTCTTCACACTTTTAAATATTCTATATTAATTTTTTCTTGCACATCAACTATTTAATAAAATACAAAAAAAAAAGTTTTTTTTATTTGTGTTTGTAAGATTTGTTGTCTAATTGAGTTATAATTTGCTAAAGTTGTTATATATTGTACAAATCCACCTAAAAATAACGATATTTATTATTTGTTCCATATAATATGTGCACTCACCATTTTTCACTAAGAATTGTAAGTTTAATTTATTTTAGTGTTTGAGTTAATACTATACGCAAAATCTTTTGAAACGAAACCATATAAAATGCATGTATAATTTGCTCTTTTGCTATCGTCTTTAAATTAAATGCTGTTATTATTAAAAAAAATTAATTGATCATTGATTTAAAAAAGGAAAAACTTTCTAAAAGTACAATTTTTATTAACAAATTAATTCATCTTCTTAGATTTTTTCCAAACAATTATTTTGCTACCCAATTTTAACACTATATATATATATATATATATATCCTATCCCACCTTTCAACACTATATATATCCTATCCGATAAGATACATATTTTCTTTAACAGCCTAGTTGTATTATTATACTGGCAATATCTCCGGCGAACCAAGACATAGCTAACTTCTGATGCTATTACGCTTTCAAAAGAGGTGGATCCCTCTTAGTATATAAAATGGGTTCCGTAGATAACCACGATCGTAACGTATTTAATATATATATTTAATGACTTTGTGCCCTGAGAAGACCTGTGCTGTGTAGTTTTTGAGATATACGGAACGTATATTTCTATACAGAAATGAAGATGTCATTCAATTGTTTCATATTTGACTACAATTCCAAGTCTTCTTTGGCTAAAAAGCTGAAATTAGATAGCTTAGGAATAAATTTTCTAACTAATACCCTTCAATACCAATAGAAAGGCCTATTGGCATTTTCTAGAGCTGATAGATTAGGTATGAATCTGGAGCTGCTAAGAAACAATACAAAAAACAAAAGATGATATTTCACTTGTAGGACAAAAAATATCCGTTCAATTTGTCAAGAACGAATGCTTTGAAAGTTTCAGAGTCTGGTCGCAAATTACATGGTAAACTTCGGGTGTACACATTTTTTCGCTTGATATTTTAATATGAGACATGCCTTTTGCCCTATGTATCTTTTTATTTTCATGAATTATGAAGCGTAACCATTACTGTTTTTTATATATATATTTTTGTTAGAAATCAAAATATAAATTAAAAATAATACAAAAAAAGAGTTAAGCCACACATAAAAAGGAATTATAATTTTAAATTAAAGATGATATCACGCTCTTTTATACAATCGACTCGTATCTACCATCTCAGCATATTGTATCAATCTAAATGTTAAAAATAAGTATTAGCAGACGTGAATTTTAAAAAATAAGTATAATATACACACCCACACACCCACCTTACTTTACCTTGTAATAAAACACACACCTTACTTTACCTTGTAATAAATTTAAGTTTTATTTTAATTCAAACTCGAATTCTTACCCTTTCTATGAGAATAACAATCTATTTATTTACCATCTATCTCATCCTCGAGAAAATTTATTCAAAATAATCAAATACACATTTAATTTTATGGATGATTAAAACTTACAAATCAAAATTAATCCAACTAATATTTTTAAATTATCTTTGTAAAAATAAATAAATATATGTATGTATATATATATATATATATATATATATATATATTTGGTTTAACAATTTTAATTTTTAACTTACCAAAAATACATATTAAAATAATTTTTGGATATATTAAATATTTATTCATGAAAAAGTGTTAATATACGAAATTAATTTTTATTATATAGATTTTACTTTTAATTAATATTTTAGTAAATTAAAACGGATTCAGTTCATTGTAATTCAAAATAAAAATCATGCTACTCAATGATCTCAACACAGTGTAATGACGATTTAAATTCACCCCACCTTATCCTCATAAAAGGAGAGACGATTAAAATGAAAGAGGTTCACAATTTTAATACCCTTTCCTACTCTTTCTGATTTTACCGGATTGGAGTAAATTAACAAGTAATTTTTATGTTGTTGCCTCATTATTTAAATTTTCATTTATATTTATTTTGAATAGTCTATATATTAAATTATTAATTATATTTTAATTTGAACAAGAAAATATAATTTATATATTACTAATTTAATTAGTTGTAAAATATGATATCAAATAATGAATTAATAAAAAATAAAAAATATAATACAATTGTGGTATTTAAATTTTCATGAGATTAGTGGCAATGATCATCTTTTACTTACTAGCTTGATTTTTATTCATTTATGTATTTATTCTTGGAAAATTAAATATAAGCTCTTCATAGTGTAAAAGAAATAAGAATATTTTTCCCTATGAAACTCAAATGGTAAGCTGGATCGGGATGTTGATTCCAACTTTTGATAACACTTTAATGTAGAGATTAATTATACAATTAGAAAGTAAAATTTAATTTTATTATTATAGAAAATTGATAAATAATTAAAATTAAAGTGTTAATATAAACGAGGGTGAGAAACACGTATACAACAAAATACATACAACATAAATAATAACTTTTTTTAAAAATTCATCTTCCAGAATTTTCAATGACTAATACTTACACGTTTCTTAAATTTTATAATAAATCCCCGACAAGAATAAATTATCCTTTAAAATAATTTGTCCGCCTAAAACTAAAGTTTTTGAGTGGAGACTTCAAACATTAAGATCTCAATTGAAATTAAAAGTTGATGCTAACAGTCTTAAATCATTGTAAACTTTAAGTAGATCAAAATTTTACTTTTAAAACAGAAGATTTTCACTTTAAATATCTCTTCGTGTCTAAAGTGTCATTCGATTTCCATGTACGTTTCGAATTTTATAGCCACTTTAATTTATTGACTAGAGATTCTCTGGACGCATGCAAGTCTATTAGCTGATGTTCTTGAGGTTTCATCTGTGAGGATGTTCTTGATTCAATTTTTGTGTGTTTTACTACTTCCAGTGCTAAAGTGTATGGTATATATAAGCAGGACCCAATTCTTTATTGCAAAATCAATGAATGACAACAAACTATTATAACAATAGAATACAGAGGTAAAACCCTCAGGTATAAACTACAATTTTCTATTTAAGTAGTAACAAAATGTGAGACAACAGAACAAGCAACCAATACTGATATGACCTGGAAAACAATAACAAGATCGACAGTAAATCAGCATCCTATTCACATATGTTAATGATAAATTATATTCCTATGTGATTGACTGGGGAATGAATGATGAAACATGGAAAGATCAAATACAGCATAAATTATAAATCAGCATCCTATTTATATAAACTCTATTATCCAATGTATGAAAACGAATAAAATATCAAATACAGATCCTTTTGGTTATGCCTTTAATTGTAAAGTTTCTGCAACGTCATCACTTCCACAAAAGGGAGTTGTGATCGAGTACGAGTTTAAACATTTTTTAAAGTTGGATGATTCAATTGAGAATATTCTTGACCCTTCACTAACCACACGACAAGAAGAATATCTAAAAGCATTACCAAAAGATGGTTGATCGTGTATCCGAAAAGCAAAACAAGAATTGATTCATTACCACTTTGGAAGGATGATACTAACATGCAAGAATTTTAAAATGCTAAACAAAAAAAATTAAAAAAATAAAATCTAAACTTCAATCTACTCAGTGATGCATGATCATGAAGTCAAGTAGTACAGTAAAATGCATCAATATAAAATATATGCTTATATATCATTCATGATGCAACATTTACCTCCAAATTTCCACCATGGACTCAAGGTTAACATGCTCATTCAGCCTGCAAAAAAACAGATGAACATCAACTCCCAAGAAATATTGCAGTTGAAATAGCATGGTTAGAAAACTTAATTTTCATGATAAATAATATTCATGTCTCTGGTGAAAAGTTGATCATTTATAATTTAGAGTTACTCCTTAAACTT